ATGGCATTCAGAATGCAGTATGGACATTTTGAGTTTATCGTGATGCCCTTCGGATAGACAAATGCCCTAGTGGCATTCATGGATCTCATGCATAGGGTGTTTCAGCCCTACCTAGGTCAGTTTTTCGTGGTGTTTGTTGATGACATCCTGATCTACTCCAAGTTTGAGTAAGAGCATGAGGGTTACTGGAGGATTGTTCTCCAGACCTTGAGGGACCATCAGTTATACGCCAAATTCAGTAAATGTGAATTTTGGCTTACAGAGGTAAAATTTTTGGGACATGTGGTATCGGTTTCAGGTGTGTTAGTTGAACCGGAGAAAGTTGAGGCAGTTATGAGTTGGGAGGAATGAAAGTCAGTCTTCAAGATACAGAATTTCTTGGGATTGTTAGGGTACTACTAGAGGTTCATAACCTATGACCAGGTTAACCCGAAAAGAGGTCAAGTTCTAGTGGGATGAATCGTGTGAGAAGGCATTCTAGGAGTTGAGGGAAGGCTTACTTCAGCTCCTATTTTGATAGTCTCGAAGAGGGGACATATGTACATAGTGTACTGTAATGCCTCCACATACGGACTTGGTTGTATTTTGATGCTGTCCGAGAGGGTGGTGACTTATGGTTCTCGACAATTAAACAACCACAAGCAGAACTATCCCACGCACGACATGGAATTGGTGGTCATTGTCTTTACCTTGAAGGCTTGATGCTACAACTTATATAGTGAGCAGTTTGAGATATTTTTAAATCACAAAATTCTGAAATACGTCTTTACACAACTGGACCTCAACATGAGGCAACGTAGGTGGATGGAGTATTTAAAGGACTATGACTTCACTTTTCATTATCACCCTAGTAAGGCAAATATAGTGGCTAATGCACTTAGTCGGAAGTCACAGGGAGTTGTTGCTAGTATGGTTTCCTGAGAGTGGCGAATACTCGAGACTGTGGGACAGTTTGGACTGCATTATAGGGGTCAGACTTAGAGTGTTTTAGGGGGCTTGGTGGTTATGCCTTTCCTACTAAGCAGGTGATCGAGTCCTAGGGGCAGAATCTAGAGTTGTCATCAATCATGAACTGAGTGCAGGTGGGTACCGGTGACGAGGGATGGGCCATTCACTCAGATGGTAGTCTTTGGTATAAGGGGGTTGTAGTTCCCCAGTCTTTGGATTTAAGAGAAGAGATCCTTAGGGAGTTCTATTGCTCCCATTTTTCCATTCATCCAAGCGACATGAAGATGTATTATGATCTCCGTCGCTAGTAATATTGGAGTGGAATGAAGAGGCATGTTGGAGATTTTGTCAGTATATGTCTCACGTGTCAGAAGGTGAAGGTTGAGCACCAGAGACCAGCAGGATTATTCCAGCCTTTAAAGGTGGCTGACTGGAAATGGGAGTACGTCACGATGGATTTTGTGACTCAATTGCCACGGACATCACGGGGGCATAAGGCAGTGTGGGTGATAGTGGACCGACTTACCAAGTAGGTATACTTTTGGGCGGTGCGGATGACCTTCAGTCAGGAGGAGTTCTACAGGTTGTATATACGGGAGATAGTCCGGTTGCATGGGCTTCCCGTATCTATAGTATCGGATCGGGACCCTAAGTTTACGACTCACTTTTGGGAGAGCTTCTAGTGGGTCATGGGGATACAATTGACGATGAGTACAACCTTTCATCCCTAGACGAACGGTTAGTCGGAGAGGACGATCCAGGTTTTAAAGGATATGCTGCAAGCATGTGTTCTAGATTTCAAGGGTAATTGGGAATAACATTTACCCTTAGTAGAGTTCGCCTACAAGAACAGTTATTAGGTGAGCATACAGATAGCACCCTATGAAGTGTTATATAGGAGGCCTTGTTGTTCTCCAATATGTTGAACGGAGGTGGGAAAAACCCTCTACGAGTCCAGATCTAATTAGAGATACCTCGAAGAAGGTGGACTTGATTCGGAAGCGTCTTCTCACAGCTTAGAGCTGGCAGAAGAGCTATGCTGACAGAAGGAGGCAACTTCTGAAATTTAAGGGTGGTGATCATGTCTTCTTGAAGGTGGCGCCTAAGAAGGGAGTAGTCAGATTCAAAAAGTAGGGAAAGTTGTCGCCGAAGTTTATCAGGCCCTTCGAGGTACTCGAGATGGGGGGTACAATGGCTTACCAGTTGGTGTTACCACCAAATTTATCGAGTATTTACGCGGTGTTCTATATCTCTATGCTCCAGAAGTATACTCCAGATCGGACATATGTGGTGGATTGGGGCGAATTAATTGTTGATGCGGATGTGACCTTTTAGGAGGGACCAATGCGTATCATGGATAACCGGAAACAAGTTTTGTGAGATAATACTGTGAGGCTAATGAAGGTGTTGTGGCAATACCGAGGTATGGAGGAGGCGACATGGGAGCGTGAGGACATCATACGTACTAGTTATCCGTTCTTGTTTGATGATGGAGGTACATGTTTACAATTTTAAGTATGGTATTACTTATTGCATATGTATGTGGTTAAGTGTGTATGTGTGTGAGAATTTTGAGGATGAAATTCTTTTAAGGGGAAAGAATGTAAAACCTAGGTAAATTTGAACTTTTATGAAAAATGGGCAAAACGATAATTTGTCACTCAGTACGGGTTGTAAACTTAAATTTTTCTAGAGCTCAAATGACAAAATGAACCTCACCATTAGATTCGTCTCGTGAAATCTAGCTACCCAGTCAATTTTTGTCAAATTTCGAGATAGTCAAATTTGTTACGTTTTACGAGGCGATCGGGTCTCAGATGACCCAAATAAGAATTTTAAAATAAAATTTGAAAGATAAAAAATAAATTAAATTAAGTTAAAATAAAAATATTTTGAACTTGAACTGGGATGAAATTTAATCGTTTCGGGGCAAAACGAACCCGAGAAAAATGGGACAGTGTGACGCGTTGTGGACCAAGCATTAAGGAGTATAAATAGGGGGGAGAAAATCTGATTTCTCTCCATTTGTTCAGCTGGGTTCTAATGTTGGAGAGGAAGAAGGGAGGAAAGAGAGAAAATCCAACCTCTCACAACGATCTACACTTCCTCGTCACTCAAATCAACTCAAGCCAACTATTAAAGTCGTTCCTCTCGATGAGGGCTACGCAGCTATACCAAAAAGCGCGGGTTTTACCAAAGTCCAAGACACGAGATTTGGGGAAAGTGGAGATTCTAGCTTGTTTTGGGTTCTTGGAGCATCTTAACTTCGTTTTACGCTTCAAGAGATAGGATTTTCATCCTGATTAGGTTTATTTTCAACATAGAAATGTGATATGGAATGGGTAGGTTGTTAAACATTTTTTTAGCACGTGCCTATTGTTGAGAAATTGACGAAATGGGTATTGAGAATGGGTAGAATAATTTATGTCATAAATTAGGTATTTAGAAATTACCTAATGTGATTCTTAAGTTGTGTGATTAATTAGGCAAATAATGTGATGACATGATTGGATGCCATGAAGGTGTTTGAAATAAATTCAAATGTGAAATTAAGTATGTTTGCATGGATAATGTGATAACATGCTAGGGAATTGTTATGGGTGTGATGTTAATATATGCTTTATGATGTGTTAGCATTATGATAATTGTGGAAGTTATATGCTTTTGATATAATTGACAATAGAATGGTGGAAATTGTTCATTTGGCAGTCATTGCATATTGGGAATAATGTTAGCACACATTCATGAGCATTGTGCATGAGCGTGGGTGTGTGTATGCATCGTTCAATCAAATACCATAATTGGTGGATGATGGGTGGGCTCGAGAAAAGTTAGAACAAAGTTCCGACTGAATCACACGGTTGCATGAAAAACTTGTGTCAAATATAGTAAGAAAGGTTAGACTCTCCCTCGGGTGTAAGGCCCGACTACTGATTTATACACTTCCAATGGTGCAACTCCAAAAAAGTGTATTGGTGTGCGCAATCGACTGTGCGACCAAAAGTCCGCTACCCAACAAAGACACGTGATTTTTTTTTAATAAAATTGTCATTCCATGTGTAACATCAATAGCAGGGGCTTGGAATGCCCAATTTTCACACATTAGCATTGCATTATGTTGTGGGAGCCGGTGAGGGTTCGAGTTAAAGTGCATGAGTGAGTCTCATCTCATTTCATTACATGACATGAAATTCTTGTCATTGAATATATATTCTTGATGGGAATACTTTGAATGGTTGATTGTCGCATGTGAACATTTTATATGCATCAAAGTTGGGGAGTAGCCTCTTTAGGAGATACTCTATTGAGCGTGGCTCACCCTTTATGGGACAATATTTTAGTTGTGAAGTTCACACCCGGGATTGCTTCTAATTCGAGCCTCAAGGATGAAGAAAGTCAACTTGTGACTTTTATGGCTCATTTTGAAAAAACCTTATGAAAACTTTATTTTTGACATGTAATATATGGAAATGATTGTAATTGAACTTGTATGCATCATGTTTTATGTGAAAAATTTCATTAAACATGTATTGGATTGAAATGTTTTGGAGTGGATTGGCAAATTGAAAACAGGGAAAATATGTCAATCTGTCAAAAACCTTCAAGAAGGTTTTTCAAATATTTGAAATTTTAAGAATGATTTCCTACGCTTCCGACCCTTGAGCCCTTTTGTTCTAATGATTTAAATGGAAAATAATTGAATTTAAATTGATGTTTATTGAATCTCGGATGGGTTATGTAGTCGAATTGTGCACAGGTTATGCGTTGAGAGCTCCTAGAACAAGGGAGACTCACCTAAACTTTGTGTTTTAGTGATCTCATTTAATGGGATGCTATTGACATGATGTCGAATTGTGCGACAATTACGAGTACTCCCGTGAGTTGATGAGTGATCAACGGTTGATAAAAGGACCCCCAATTTTAGGAGCGTCACAGAACTTGAGTCTCAAACTATATCGTCTCTCATGACGTTATTTTTCATGAAGATATTTTTCCATTTTAGGATCTACTCATAGAGTCGTCTAACCCTACACTACCCCTGCTAATAACAGATTGTGTTGAATCTTCTACCATTGTTAAGCCCCCTATCAACAACAATGATGTATGTGATTCGTTACCCACACCACCACTTGCTCCTAGACACTCCATATGTTCTACTAAACCACCAAGCTATCTGAAGGACTGTCACTATACTTTAGCTATGCAACCTCTCCCAGCTTCATCGCCATCCTCAATGACCAACTCTATGGGAAGTATCTTACAACATTTGTCTCACTATTTATCTTATGATAATCTTTCTCCTTCTCATTGGGCATTTTCTATCGCAATTTTTGTTGTCATAGAACCCAAGTCTTTTAAACAAGTTATGCGTGATCCAAAATGGTGAGAGGCCATGGCTGCCAAAATTAATGCTCTTGAGGATAAAAATATATGGACTCTCACTTCTTTTCCTTCTCACAAACAACCCATTGGTTGCCACTGGATATACAAGATTAAACATACTTCTGATGCTTCCATCGAACAATACAAGGCATGATTTGTTACCAAGGGTTATAGTAAAAAAAAAGGGTTGGATTAATGTGAAACTTTTTCTCCTATTGTCAAACTAGTTATTCTTCGTGTACTGCTCGTCGTGGCATTTATTCACCAATGGCATGTTCATTAGTTGGATGTCAACATCACCTTTTTACATGGTGAGTTAGAGGAGGAAGTTTACATGGAACTATCTCCTGGTTTGGTAAACAGAGGGAGACCAGAGTTTCTAACTCAACAAATCTTTATATGGATCAAACAAGCATCTTGTCAATGGTTTTCAATATGTTACACTATTCTCACAATTCAATCCAAGGTATATTATTCATTATTCACATGAACTTCGGGTTCTTCCTTCACTATTGTGTTAGTCTATGTAGATGATATCATAGTTGTTGGTACGACCTTTCTACCATCAATACAATCAAAGAATTCCTCCATAGCAGATTTAAGTTGAAGAATCTTAGTCCACTCAAATACTTCTTAGGCAATCAAGTAGCTCGTTCAAATCAGGGCATATATCTTTCTCAAAGTAAATATGCATTGGAGATCTTAAAGGAAACTGGTTTCCTTGGCTCACAACCAACAATAATTCCTATGGAGCAAAATCAGAAATTAACTTCAGCAGGTGGAGCTCTTTTACCAGATCCCACTAGCTATCGTCATCTTGTTAGCTGACTGATTTACCTCACAATCACACGCACAGACCTTACATGTTCTGTCCAAATTCTTAGTCAATTTATGGAAAAACCCGGACAACTGCTTCTTGATGCTGCTCATCAGCTTCTTCGGTATCTCAAACATTCTCCTCATCAAAGAATTCTCTTATCGTTGTCTAGTCCACTTCAATTACGGGCTTTTTTGTGATTCTAATTGGGCTTGTTGTACAGAATCATGGAGATCTATTATTGGCTATTGTATCATGCTTGGATTTTCCATCATTCACGGGAAACAAAAAACAAAATACAATTTCTAGATCGTTCGTCGAGGCTAAATATCGGGTCATGGCCAACATATATATGTTGTGAAGTCACTTGGCTTTCCTCATTCCTCTATGACCTACAAGTGCCTCATTCTTAACCTGCCTTGATGTTTTGCGACAATAAAGCTACTTTACACAGTGTTGTCAATCCTATCTTCCACGAGTGAGTAAAATATATTTGGATCAACTGTCATATCATTCGAGAAAAACTTCAAGCATGACTCATTCGTGCATCTCACATTCTTAACCAGCAACAACTTGTTAATATATTCACGAAACCACTTGATGCAAGTCGTTTCCATCAACTCATTCACAAGTTGGGAGTTCATGACATTCACACTCCAACTCTAGGGGAAGTATTCAAATAGATTTAGATAACCCATAGCAGAATAAGATAACCCATATCACTAGTATATTTGTATATTTTCTCTTATCTGTTAGTTGTAACTTTTCCCTTGTCTTCCCCTTGTAATTGTGATCTCAAAGGATGAGATATGATCTACATTTTTAGTATATAAATAGCAGTTTATAGCACTGAGAAATATTCAAAAAATTCATTTAATTCAACTCGTTAGCAAGCTTATTAGCTACCCTATTAATGTTGACGGAGTGAACACCAAAATCTAACGAAAGTGTCACATTATAACACTTTTACTGTATTGAAGGTGCAATATTAGTTCAAAAAAAAAAAGGTGCAATGTTACAAATTTAATTTTAGATTAATTACATCGAGGCTTTGTCACTAAAATACATAAACCCCCTCAAGTATGACATATTACACTAACATCCCCTATCAGTCACAATGAACTAACACACCTAACAAAAGTTTTAAAATGACTATTTTTCCCTTGTTTAAAATAAATAAAACCAACCTCAGTCAAACCCATATACCATACCTTAATTAGACCTGACGGACACAACTTGAATACTTGTCCATCACTTCCACTAACACCTTCAATGCACAGAACCTCTCATTCATTCTCTCTCTCTCTCTCTCTCTCTCTCTCTCTCTCTCTCTCTCTCTCTCTCTCCACTGC